CTAGGCCCGAAACGTCAGCCTTCCTGCTCCTATGATGCTGCTTGGCCTGCTGTGCTCATCCAGCTCTAAACCTTGTTATCTCAGATTCTCCAACATCTGCAGTTCCAACTATCTCACTTTTCCTTCTTTGCTTTTGTTTGGTTCGATTAAATAGCTCGCTTTTTTTCTTATATAAACGTCGCTTGTCTCTTCTTTTGACAACCTTCGACAGGCTTGCTACATACCTCATGCCCCAATTTATCTATTAATTTCACATTTCCAAGTTTTAGTTTATCTGATTGTGATGGGAGTCTCTAAATTAACCTATGCATTCATGAGAAGGAAAAATAATAACCATTAAATAAAATTTTAACCACTCCTTTAGCCTACAACGGCCTCCAAGAGTTCATTCTGAACAAGTGAGAGCGGTTGTGCTCAGGGGCATTGTGGGATCTAGGAGGTTTGGAGCTGTGGGATTATTGGGACGTGAGCAGCGGGATTGTGGGAACGTGGAGGACTGACACTGTGGGATTGTGGGATAGTGGAGGACGTGTGCGGCGGCATTGTGGGATAGTGTTAGAGGCGAGCGGATGGTGAAAGGCGGCCCTGGCGAAATGGCGGACGTTCATAGCCAGGAGGAAGAGGCGGACTGGCGCCGGAATGAGCGACTGACGGCTACCTTGGAGGAAGAGTAAGGGGAACCTTCGTTACCGATGCGGATAGAATTAAGTTAGCGGCAGCCGTTACAATGAAACGTTCCGGTCAACCTCGTGTGTGAGTGGGAGAGCCGGTACGCGGCGGCCGCGCTGTTTGTGGTTTAAATAATAACGAGCGGCCTCGGTGTTCACACACACACGGCCGCGGCAGGCGTTCTCTTGGCTCCCACCGCAGGCTTCTGGACTCCCGCGCCGCTCTTCCGCCTTGTTTCTAAGGCCACGAAGTTTCCACCTCCCCGTCCCTCCCACCGCTGAGAACCAGCGGGTACTGAGTGGGGCCTCGCTCAGCATGTGAGCAACTGCGGGCGGAGTTGGTTTGTTCTATGGGGAGAACGGGTGCCTCCGCCCTTCGCTTTCCTCCCAGGTCTCTCGTTACTCTCCATCCCTCCGCGTTAATCCCACTTCCACAGACGTTGTCTGGACGTGCTGAGGGTTTCGAGCATTTAAAAAAAAATCATTGTTTTCTAATCCTCCCACCTGCTATTCTGAATTGATCATTCTTGCCGTTTACTTTGCCTTACTACCTATTTTCCAACTTAAGTTTTTTTCTTGTTTAAAGTGACTTGGCTGTCTCTTTCGATTGGATCGCCAAGTTGGCCTACTAAACTATGTTGAGTAACATTTTTTCTAAAGTTGTTTTTTTCTATATAAATGGGAACACTGACAAAGTAGAGTAATCATCCATGCATTGAACCAAATCAACTTGGTTAAATGTTGCCAGATTAGATGCTGAGAATATTTCAATGTACTTCAAATAATGGATTATTTTTGAAGTGTAGTCGTTGCTGTTAGTATGTGAAGATGGCAGCTGTTTAAGCACAGAGTGATGAGCAGATAATCTCTCGCTGGTGTTGTTTGAATGACAATTATTTGCTAGAACACTGGAAGAGCTTCTCATGTATTTTTTCCTAACAACTGGAGGTGGCTGACAGAACCTGTTTAATGTCTAACCTGAAAGGTGACACCTGCTGTAGTATACTGTATAGTCTCTTGTTAATTTCAATTGCAGATTGGGGTTCATAACCTTGGTCAAAGACTACTACAAAAGAAGTCAGGCTGACATTTTAACACTCCAACAAGCAAGCCTGTGAATAACTAGTTTCCACTGTGGAAATAATTTCAACTTGCGTTTTTGATTTTACTTTACCTCCCTTTTTGTTTGTAAATATCTCAAATACTTTTAATGTTTAGCTATACCATGGCATGGTTCGTGTGTAGAAATGGCTTCAATATTGCTGAAAAGAGATGCTGCCAAATGTAGCACTTGTTGGGATAAACCCATTGCCAAATTTTAAACAAACTCAACAATTTATACCATAGGGAAATAGCCGCACTAACAACCAAACTAAGATAATCGGCTACACTTGGAATGTGGTTCAATTACACTTGCTAGAAGTGAGGTACCGTGATCTGTAAACGAAATGTATGTGCATGAGCCTCTCAAGTTTTTTTTATTTAACATTGTAACTTGAGTGCATGGTTCCTTGTTGCTTGACTGAGGCATTGCTATTGGAATAATCAGGGTTGAGCCAGTCAGCTTGTTTTTGTTCTTTAGCATAAATTGTTGTGATTGTTTGTTTGAAATTTGGCATTTGAGTTTGTCTTTGAGTTCAGGCCAGAAATCAAAAATATATCTATCTTTTCACCAATACATTCACTGCTACTAAGCAACTACAAACATTGCTTCTACAATTATGGAAACTCCTTTTTTTAAACTCTGCATTTTAAACCACATTCTATGTATTTTTAAAATTCAGAATACAAGAAACACCAATTATGATGAATTTAACATTTTACTGTGAAATGTAATTTTTTCAGATTTGCTTCAACCTCTTTTAACCTGACTTTATAGGAATCTTAGTGTAAAGTAAGAAAATTGAACTTGGACTTAATGGACACTTGCTCGTATAACAAACAGGTTGCTGGTTTTCATATGATTGGTATGCAAGGTTCTTCCGTTGACTGACTTATTGGTTAACATTTAGGTTGGGGAACCTGTAATTCATTGGTGAGATGCTTCAGTTTCTTTGTGTGAATTAATATCCCCAGATCACAAAGTACTTGATATTTGACATGATTCAGGATTAGTTTATAAAACACCTCCAGATAATTACTGATGTTTAAGAAATTGATCAATCTCAAATCATCTATCATAATTCTAAATGCAATAGGTGTAAATATATATTGTGTATTGTTTTTGTCCATTCACTGTGCTGTGTGTTAATATGCAATTGAGTTTCAAACTTATTGCTGTGCCTGTTTGCAAATGACATTCGATTAATTCCATGGTGTCTGAGCAGCCTCCTAATTACAACTATCTGCTGGATTGGGGCGGTCTGAAAATTTAATCACTTTTCCATTCCTCCAGGATTCCTGCTCATTTTAAGTTAAAGTGGTGGACCCAACGTGGATTCCTGAGGCAACCCAATTTCCTTTTTCTGATGAAGGGTCTAGGCCTGAAACATCAGCCTCTCTGCTCCTATGATGCTGCTTGGCCTGCTGTGTTCATCCAGCCCTGCACCTTGTTGCCTCTTCCTAAGTACTCTGTCTTCTGCCCCTCCCCACCCCATTTTTCATCCATTTCCTGCTTTCTCCTCACTCTGATGTTATCCTTGAGTGATTTTTAAAAATTATTCTTACGTGGTATGTGAGCACTTATTGTCCATATAATGTCTTTGAGAAGGTAGTGAACTACTGTAGTGCAACTAAGGCAAAGTGGTAAACAATGAAACCAATACAAAGTTTAGCTACATTGCCAGGACAGATGGGATATTCCCAATCTGAATCCATGTTGGCACATTGATACTGAATTTATTGTTGTAGAGATGATGCTCAAGCTTGCAACCGAATGCTTCCATTGACCTGAAATAGAAGCAACACTTCATGTCTGAGACAACAAGGTGCAGGGCTGGATGAACACAGCAGGCCAAGCAGCATCATAGGGGCAGAGAGGCTGACGTTTCGGGCCTAGACCCTTCATCTGCTTGTCTGTTGTTTGCACCCTTCTTGATAATGGACAGGATGTTAGATTATTTCCGACCTTATGATACTTCCTATGTCTGTCTCTCGTAGCAGTTATCAGTGTTTCACAAAATACATCTCAACACACCTAGATAAAGACAATATGTCCTAAGGATTTACTTGAGTTAGCTTACCTAGACCTCAATTTATAACAAGCTTGTGGATTGTTTTTGAATTGTTTGGCGAATACACAAAATTTAGTGGCAGTAAATTTAAGCCATTTTTCCCATTGCGAACAAAAAGTCATGCATCTGGAACCCTTGAAATAAAGGTCATTCCTGCTTGGAAATAGGCCCTAATGAACTTTCATTACTTAGAAAGGTGGGTGATTTTGGTGAATATTTAACTAGTGTTGATATAGAAAACCAATATTTGATTTTAGAATTTCATGATGCATAGAGAAAATTTTGGTGGAAACTGCAGCATTTATTTAAAAAGTTTCTTTCTACCCCATTTTATCTATTCCTTGGAATCTTGGAGTTTGAATTAGGCCAAACTTGATCATCAAGAGACAAGTGGGGATACATTCTGATCTTGATTTTCTTTAGGCTACAAAACGTAACACATCTTTATGGCATGCAACGTAGGGATACTGCTGGCTGAATTAAAGTTACATTGTGGAAATTTTAGAACTTCAAACATTTCTGTTCACACTTGATTCCTATTTGTTGAGATGGTATGTAAAAAAAAATCAAGGTAATGTGATAGACTTACAACCTGCTTTTCTGTTCCCTGGAAAAATGTAAAGATTACAAACCTCTTTTGCTTCCAGTGCTTATTATAGACCATGGAGCACTTGTCGTTGCTTTTATGGCAATGCTTGTTGATTATTAGTAACCTAGCTACTGATTATATGCTGTTGAATGACTTTTGGGAAGTGGGGTGAGAACATATCTTGTAATTGAAAGATGCTGACCTTTTTTTGTGCAATTGAGAGAGATTTTATTTATAAAACAAATGGAGTACCAGGACACACTATTTGGACAGCCAGAGGAAATGGGAAATTAAGTTTATTTACATCGTGGAATAGGTTGAATGATAAAGTGCTTAAGAAAAACGTGGATGGAGGATGTGATGAAGCTAAAGATGGATTATGCAAGTAATCTTATGCTTCTGTAGCTTTTGCACTATCAGATCTACCTTAAAATGGTAGTCAAATCCCTGTTTCTAACTATAGTACTGAGTAGTTCACTTGGATAACATTGTGAATAACTCCACAATACTGTAATGGAAACACTTTTAAATGATGCTGGCTGCCAGAAATAAGCTCTTAGTTTGGACAGTTTTTGTGTAGGTTAATCAAATAAATTTAGAAATGTCAAGTTTTAGTATTTCTTGCTTCTCTTGCATATAAACACAGCTCTATAGGATTTCAAAGGAAACACAAAATTACGATTCTCTCTTATTTGAGTACTTGCCTACATTCAGAGGTTTGCATCAAGCATTTTGTTGTTACAACCAGCTTGGCATTAAGATTTTTAAAAATCCAGATCATGTGAGGAGATGGCGGCATAATGATAACGTTGCTGGGCGAGTGATCCACAACCCCAGGCTAATGGTCTGAGGGTGTGGGTTTAAATTCCACCGTTGGATTTGATTACAAATCTGCAATTAGTCTAGTAACCACTGCCAATTATTGTAAAAATTCATCTGGCTCACTAATGTCCTTTTATTGGAAGGAAATCGCTGTCCTTACCTGGGGACCACAGCATTAGGTCAGCCAATAAAATGACCGACGAAGAGTCTGAGACTGAGGCTGGTAAGGCTAAGAGAAGCAACAGACAGGGAGGTTATCGAATACAGTAGGACTGGCAATCTGAAGTGTATTTGTTTTAATGTGTGGGTATGATGGATAAGGGAGATGAAATTGGAGCTCGGATTAATACACATAATTATAATATTGTAGCTGTTACAGAGATCTGGTTGAGAGGGGGACAAGACTGGCTGTTTAACC